ATATCCCTCTCCTGGCCTCCTGTCGTGCGATGCCTCAGCACCATCAGCTATTGTATCTAAAATAGTAATCCCCGTAACGCAGGGTGAGATAATCATATCAGTAAACTAGAGGTTCTTAGAGGGCTCCTCCACCACTAGGTTCACTTCAGTTATAACCACAATATAAAATCAATGTTTACATCAGAATATCTATATCATACAGTGTGAAATAATGAATCCTACTGGCCAGAGAATACAATATGTTTGCATTGCGCAAGGAAACCAGTCTTGCAATATACCAGTACAAGGAAACCTGTCTTGTACTACGCATAAGAAAATCAATCTGATGCCTCTCACATAAGGAAACTCGTCTTGTGTGGCACACAACATACATGCAAACACATGCATCATATAACAATCTTGTACAACATACCATATATCAAAGAACCATCCTCCTCCGGAGTCTGGTGGAACAAAAGGAGATTAACCCCAAGGACCGAAAGCTTACCTGTCAAGCAACGTCCTCAAATGTACTCCTTGTATCCAAGGGGTCACAACCACAACCTATTTTCAAGATGTGAAGACAATTGGTATATATATATATATAATAATCTACCACATTCAATTTCTCATTATCTTTTGTCTAATTATTTAGTCTGTTCAATTTTTTCAACTAGCTTTGGTCCTCAACAATGGAACATTATTTTAATCAACAATTGGCTCTAATATTTCATAGGGTTATAAATCAATGTGTTAGCTTCATATAGGTTCAAACCCCACCTAATTTGGAATTCCACAGCTCAAAATATTCGCATTTTACTATGTTGTCCTCATTATAGCAACAGGGATTCGAATCCCTCTCAGAAGCTAAGTTTCATCATTTTAACAGTGGGGATTCGAATCCCTTTGAAAAGGATTCGAATCCCTCCTGGACAGAGGCCATAATAACAACATTTTTCTGCATAAATGGTCACTTAACCCGAAAACTCAACTCTCCCGTTAACCTGACATGCATTTCTATACATAGTTTCATACTTTTACATTCTACATGTCAAAACCCTAGGTTTACATAACCTAACATATGACATTTCTCAACAACAAAACACAAGAGGGAAGTTAGGATATTTACCTTGGGAGTTCCAATCCACCAAATAGAAGATAACCCAAGCTATCTAAACAAGAATTTCTCCTTCCCCAAGCTCAAGTCTGAAAATGGTTCACAAATGGGTTCTCTTTTTTTTCTCACAAACATACTACCAATTAAAATAAGTGAATGAGGTGGATATGAAGATTTGAGTGTAATCTCTCTTGTTTCTAGAAGATGAAGGGACAAAAAGTAAATCTGCTTGGTTTTAGACTTGGTACAACTCAAAATCATGATTCTATTTGGTTTGCCCAACCAAAAAATTATTCGGAGAATCTACAAGAAAATAAAAAAATACGAGATTGTATCACGAATTTTATAGAAAAAAATACAAGAATTTCTTCCGGTGAAGCACAATGGAGAAGAGGAAGAAGAACTCTTCTTCGGTAGAAAAGGGAAGCCTGCGGGAAGAGAGAAAGAGAATGAGGAAATGAAAGTGTTTTGAGTGTTTAAGTGAGTTTCGCTATTCAAGTGGGTATCAACTTATCTATCTCGCTCACTTAACTCTCCTTCAAACTTGACACATTGACTTACAATATTCTTGTGGTAATATTTACTATTTTACTTTTAATTTTCGGGTAACTTTGTCTACCTATTTTTTTATCCCGTAATTGTCAGTATACACACTTTTTAGCAAAAGGTGATTTTAATTCTTTTTTCACAAGGGATTTCAATTTATTTAATTAAACCTCTCATCAAATTAATTCTTCATTAATTATGATTATTTCTTAATAAACTCAAAAATTTATAATTTCCAGTCTAGGGTCATTATAGAAATCAAGTTTGTTTGAGGAATAGACTTCAGGAAATGAGCTATTTCGTACTTCAAAATGACAGTCGAAGGATGAATATGTTGTTGTAGATTTCATCTATTGCCTCTGAAACAAGGAGAAACTCGAGTTCTTTAGCATAGGTCTTGAGGTAAATCATTGGGAATGGTACCGTAAGAGGGAAAGCGAGGTTCTGTAAACGAAACAACCCAAGAGCATAAGGAATCAATATTGACAATGATAAAGTGATCTGAACAACTTCATTCGATAAGGGACAAAGCTAGGATTTAGATTATACTGTAGAGAATTAGTGAACTAGTTCCTATTTTGATACTAAGTGTTCTTTCATTTTTATTATTATCTTATACACTTTCAATTGGCCCATTGTACATGGCCCAACCATTGTTTCAAGAAATTCAGAGTCAATCAGAGCTATGGCCCAATAAGTATGGTCCAATTATTGAAAGAAACAGTGATTTAAAACGTAACAAATTGCGATCAAATCCAAATCTCAATAAAGCAGCAGATATGATTGTGATTTATTTAGGAAAAAAAGGAAAGCAACACATTTGGCGTGATTTGAAATCTAAGATTTGGGATGTGATTTGAATGATTTAATTGTAATTATTTATTTATTTTTAAAAGTTAATTACTGTTATATTTATTTTAGGAAGTTTTATTATTTTTAGAATTTTTAATTTTTGAATTTTGAATATTTGATCAATTTGTAATTAGTCTATAAAAGGGTGCTATGACCCTTATTCTAGGAGTTGAATTTTGTTATTTTGTTAATTAAAATTGAGAACCAGAGGGTTATTCTTTGGTGAAATTCTTACTTTCTGTTTAGCCATTTTTTCTATGCGCTTTCAGCATCATTTGGTATCAGAGGACTAGGTTGCCTTCAACCAATGGCTGAACAGAATCATGGAGATCGACAATGGCGGAGTCACGAGGGTAGGGAACATGGATTCGTTCCTGAAGAATATAGACAATTGCGTCAAATTGACTCGCGAGATATAGAAAATGAAGAGTTCGAAAGCGAATCCAGTATTTGAAGCACCAACTTGAGCAAGCGTTGGATAAGAAAATCTAAGTTTTGGAGCGACTACTTGTGCATGCGCAGAGAAAGAGAATTCAAGATTTGGAGCGATGACTCGTGCGAGTATGCATGAAAATCCAAATTTTGAAGCGAACTTTTGTGGAAGTGCAGAGCATGAAAATCCAATATTTGGAGCGGTGACTTGTGTGGACAAAGTTGAACGTTCAATCTGAAGAAGGAATGGAATTAGAGGACACATCTGATGACGAAGAATAAGACGTCAATCCCTTGGGATTCTAAACCAGGGACATAATTGGGAAGTACGACCTGGAAATCAGTTCATGACTTCATTCTTCAAGATATTGAGATGCAAACCAACATTCCTATCTTTGATATCCACGATCATAACACAATTTATGATGATTATCCGATTGATGATGATTATTCCATTTATTCTGATTATCTATCTTAAGATGAAGATTCAGCTTATGAAAATTATCCAATTGATGATGATTATCCCATTTATGATTATTATCCATTTTATAATGAAGATTCAGTTTATGATAATAATTCGGTCTATAATAAATCTGATGGAGAATCAGATTATGAAGATCTAATAGATGAAGATTTATATTTGAGTTTTTGTCTAAAGAAATTAATATCAGTGAATATGAAGCAAATTCGAGGACGAATATTTTCCTAGCAGGGGAGAATGATACACTTACAGTGGATTGCAAAAAAAAATACACTTACAGTTGAATCATTAATCAAAAAGCTCAGAGTCAACCAGAGTTATAGCTCAATAAGTATGGCCCAATTGTTGAAAGAAGCAGTGATTTAAAATATAACAAATTACGATCAAATCCAAATCTCAATAAAGCAGCAAATATGATTGTAATTTGTTTAGGAAGAAAAGGAAAATAACACATTTGGCGTGATTTGAGATCTAATTTTTGTGATGTGTTTTGAATGATTTAATTGTAATTAATTATTTATTTTTAAAAAGTTAATTATTGTTATATTTATTTTAGGAAGTTTTATTATTTTTAGGATTTTTAATTTTTGATCAATTTGTAATTAGTCTATAAAAAAGTTCTTATGACCCTTATTCTAAGAGTTGAATTTTATTATTTTGTTAATTGAGATTGAGAACAAGAGGATTATTTTTTAGTGAAATCCTTACTTTCTATTTAGCCATCTTTTCTATGCGTTTTCGGCATCATGCTGAGAGTAATTTTTGTTCCTGAAAATTTATAAAAGTATAAAACAAAAGATTTATTTTTTGTTAGATTTACTTTCCTGCAATTATACAATCATTCCTGATAAATTGTGCCCACAAACTGTCGTTCCTTCCAAGTAAGGAAGAACCGGTTGTGTATAACCTACGAGAGAAATTGATTTGGATCAACCTATACCTCAGCCGTATAAAGACAATACACGTTTTTTAATATGAACGATTGGCTATTAAAATTCCAAGCTAACATTAACAATTAGATTGATGTTCCTTGTTGTAGATGCATAGTTTCTCACAGATTACATTTTTTTTAATCAAATTCAAGGTAACTTTTCCCGTGAATACGATAACCGGGACATTATATTCCAAATTTTTACTTGGACGCATTGACTTGCGCTTGTGCAATCACTTTTGAGATTTCTCTTAGTTGAAACGTGTTCCAACACCAAACAAACTTATTACATAGTAAATAAGGCGATTGTGATTTTACTTTTGTCCGAGTCTAGCAGCGTCCTACTTAGTTGTTTAATATATTCAATAACGCTTGCGAGATAAAAGCAAAAATAAACAGGTTTATGATAATAAGAAGGGTTTTGATTTTTTTCACGTGGTAGGAGAAAATTTTCTGATCCTATAAACGTGGAGTTTACATTTATTAAAAAAATAAAAAAATAAAAAAAATATTACACAAAAATCAAAAGATCATTAATAAGAGAAAACAACGCTTCTACAGTGTCAGAAAATATTTTTCCTAAAAAGAAATGTCAGAAATTTATTGGGGGAGAAACAATAAACAGCATTCCCTTCAAGTTGTCATCTGCCAAATTTGTTTCGTCACATAAGTATCTCTGTGTCCTTGTCGTGGAAAATTTCAAGAGAGGACACGAGAGGTTGGTCGGATAAAGGCAGTAAATCCTCGTCGTCGTCGTAACTAAAATCGCATGTATCACAGAAATCCGAGTTGAGAAGATCAGGTAAGAAAATCTCCCCAATGTCAAAATCTAATAGCAAATCCTTTGAAGGTTCTTTTCCGTCACTGAGAAATGAGAAAAATTCATCTTCGCACGCATTAGTCTCGATTTTGTTTTCGGTTGAATTATTGTCTGCATGATTCACAAGCAATGGCTCTGACTCTGGCTCTATCTCTATCTCTGCTTGTGCTTCTAGTTCTGCCATAGACGTGCTCTGCAATTGCATTGATGAGAGAGGGAGTGTATGTACGGACAACAACTTAGAGCATTCAGATGCCTTTATACGGACCATATGGGAGTCTGTTTTGTGACTGACACCAACTGTCGCAGACTCTGTCACCGACTGTCCTTCCAAAGGCAAAAAACTTTTGATCATTCCAACTTAACAAATAGAACATAAACAAGAATCGGGGTTAGCAAAACTACTAAGTTGTAAAGAACATTAACCACTTTAGACAGATTGACCAAATGGGTTTAAAAAAATATTTTCAAAATGATATTATTAAAAAAAATATTTTCAGATTGACCAACACTCTTTTATTGCTTCTCCTCTATCCCTCTCGTACACCAACACTCCAATCTCACTTTTCTTTCCTATGCGTACTGTTTCTAATCACATATACAGTGTCCGTTACGGGTGCGGGAAAAAAAATATTTTATCCAAGAAATACAATTACTAAAAATATGTTAAAAAAGTGAGTTTGATAGAAGAAAAAAACAATTTTTAATATGTCAAAATATTACCCAAAAAATAGGTTAAATTTTCTGAGTTTATGTTTGATTGAAGGTAAATTACTGTCAGAAAAATGAGATGAAATTACTAAACTAACATTTGACTAAATACAAAGAAAATTCTATCTCCAACTTTCTTTTGACACATTTTTTGAGAAGAAGTATTTGTGTTCGTTACTTTTTTTTTTTCATTATGAGATTTCTATGCAAATCCGAATTATGGACAAATTTTATAAACCCCACATTAGTTGTTTAGGTGCAACTAATGTGGGACTTTTAACATTGTCATCCCCTTTAAGGGCCAATATCCATGACGACTTTCCCTTTTTGAAAGCACCAATTATTATGAGTCTTGAAATCACCACCCCAAAACTAGTTCAAAGGATAGAATTATCCAAAATCTTATAAAAGTTACATTAGTTATATAAGCAAGCAAGTTGGGACTTATAATATAACCCCAGTTATATCTATTTGTCCTTCCATTACCAACGACTCTAGCTAACCGCATTTTATATTTATTTTTTTTGTTTGGTGGGCACATTTTATTTTACTTTAGTTGGCTGGAAGATGTATCGTATACGAAAATCATTATACCCCATCTACGAAGCATTGACACTTCAAAATTTTGGACGTGTTGTGTCCGACACTTTTCAACACTCACCGATACTTTGACACTTCGCGACACTCCAATACTCATTGTAAAGACTCAAAAAAGATTCAAAGGTTACGTTGCGTTGCATTTTGAATTTCAACTATTAGATTCGTTGGATTACGATTACTATTTTATTGAGTTTAATATAAACATTTGAGATATCTTATGTTTCTTTGCAAAATTGATGGATATTATAAGTTTAATTTTATTTTATTTTTTATTAAATTATTGAATATTAAATGTAATATACACTACTTAAATTAAAAATATTATATAATATCAAAACGTGTCCTAACGTGTCGAAATTTAACATTTTTAGAATCAACGTGTCGGAGCTCGTGTCGTGTCGTATCCCGTGTCGGTGTCGGTGCAACATAGTACCCCATTTTATTGACTCTAATTTTATTTTATTTTTTGGCTAATAATAATTTTCAGTTAAAGATGTATACAAATTAATTAGTAAGTTAATAATTAATTATCATAATATATTAATCGATTTATAATGTCATTCACTAATTATTGATCATTCATTAACTAACATAAATATGACGTATAAATTTTAATATATACATAACACAATTGTATCTTATATATTCATCATCCTATGCCATGGATAAAAAAATATGATTAACAAAAGCTCTTCATACACCTCTTCTTCGTTTTTCTTCAAAAGTAAACCCAATTTTAATCCTTTGAAAATATAGGTGTTAATTTTTTTATCTCTTAAAAGAATTCAAAGTTAATTTAACATTAATCTAATCATAAAAATTATCGCAAAGTTATGATGAGAGGGATCCATACAAAAGTAGTTAAATCACAAAGCAACTTAAACTTATTATGAGATCATGAGAGAGAGAGAGAGGGGGGGTGACCTTGGAGATTGCCTGAGGCTTTGTTTTCTGCACGTTCTTTTCAGGCGGTTGTGCAGAAAAAATGCTGAGGTGACGATCCTTAACTTTTTTACATAAATTGGTGTTCCAGTAATTCTTTATCTCATTGTCAGTTCGTCCCGGAAGCCTTCCAGCTATTAGAGACCATCTATCAGAGAATGAGACCCAGAAATTAACACCCATTACTATCGCAAATTCGCTATCGTATTAATTATAACGACGAAAAAAGTAAAGGACAAATTGAGAGAAGAGAGAGAGGAATGGTTAAAGGCTAAAGCTACCACCACTAAACACGTGGAACAAGTGATAATTGTTTATTCTAGTTTATTGAGTGATCTCGAGTTCAGGTTCTTAGCAACATTGTTATGTTAAAATTTGATAAGAAAAACTTTATCGATCACATAGTCTTATCCGGTTAGAATTGGACTAATCTAGTAACCAATGAACCGATGAATAATATAAAAAAAAAAAAAAGCACTAAAGCTACCTGTTTCCGAGGAGTTTGTGAAGTCTGATGATAAGGTCTTTTTCGTCTGGGGATATATTGCCTCTCTTGATATCTGGTCTCAGATAATTCAACCATCGAAGTCTACAACTTTTACCACAACGTTTCAATCCTGCAGTCACACATTATTATTAATATATATATATAAACCATTCATCTGATTTTCACTTAAGCTGTGGGGAGAATTAATTGCGTGACATGGTGTTAAAGCCTCGGTCTAACATGCGGTACTTGCCCCGGCCGCTCTTCAAAAAATATAGGCTTAATTCAAAGTTCAAAAGATTTTCAGGTGAGAGACATATTAAGAGATATAATGAAAAAAATCATATATTTATATCCAATAATTTCAGTTTTTGGGAAAGTTGGTTGCGTCAACAAGCACATATCAATAATATGATTGATGGTAGTTTACATGAAAAGTAACACATTATCTTTACATGAAACTTTAACGTACAAGTTCGAACATAGTTAACCTGCTCTTAGAGGAAGCTTGCTCCATTTTCCTGGGCCATGGACATCAACATACTCTCGGAGGATTTTATCTTCCTGGGATGTCCAGGCACCTCGATTCAAGCCTTCCTTTGAACAACAAGGGCTTCTGCCCATCTCTCTCTCTCACCTTCACAAATCGCAAAGCCTTTAAACCTGTGGAAGTGGTGTTCTGCCTAAGTTGTGGGTTTCACCTTGCTCTCTAACTCTGGATCAGAGTGTACGTTCTTATACTCAATCTATAGTAAGCAATGACATAAGTCGTACATATTTAGGGTATGGTTCAATCCATTTCATCACGTTTACAACAGAAATTTTTTCTTAATATATATATATATATATATATATATATATATATATATATATATATATATATGGATTTTATAAGAGTTATGTAGTAAGAAAAGTGATTATGTAATGTTATATAGATTCGTTTTGCGTGCCTTAGCTTTTTTTTTTTTGCTTCAAAAAGTGCGGGCCCCACAAAATGTTATGTGTGTAAGAAACTTTTTTGTGTCATGCGACATGATAGATGCAAACCCTTATATATATATATATATATATATATATATATATATATATATATATATATATATATATATATATATATAGACTTTCATGCACACATATATTAAAGGTGATGCTCACAGCTCACTTTATATTTTTTTTTTTCACTATTCTCTCTCCTCTATGCTCTAATATACGTGAGTATTAGAGAAATTTTCTCTCACAGAGTTAATTTCCTCTATATTTATATATATATACATATATAAAAATCAAGACATATTTTTGTCGTATATATTTATGAAAAATGTTATATTTATAAAAATTTTATTTACAAATTATATTATGTCTTTTTGGTAAGATACTCTTGAATAAAATATTTTCAGCAAAACATAATATAATTTATAAGTTTATAAAAAAAAAAATCTCCTCTCTATATATATTTATAAGTTGTATATACGACAGAAAATAGTCGTACATATTTAAGTCGTATATGTACATTTATATTGATTGCATGTGCAATTTGGACCGTTCATTGAGTGAGCTTCTGTTATGTGCAGAAAGCCAAGGAGAACATCTAGGGCCCAAGCTGGGCAGTGGATTACATTCAGCATTAGAGTAGTTTAGTTGTTAAGTAGTTGTACCGTGGATCTATAAGTCCACTATGTTTCCTTTTTGGGATAAGTCACTCACTGTATGGGAGATATCCTTAGCTTAGGTACAGACCAGGCTAAGAGGTATTATGCCAAGCAATAGCAAAACAATAGATATGTTTAGTTAAGCAATAAGACTCAAAGTAAATGGGCAGTATTACGATACATAAGATATCTTTAAGTTGTGCCCATGGGGGCTATTTATAGAGGATATGGAGCGGGTTGGTAAGGAGGGGTCAACCCTCCTTGGGATGTACAACCATGATAGCAGTGTTGGGCGTGTTAGGCGCTGCCTTTTGGGCAGCGCTGCACCTTCTGCGTCTGGCGATGTCAGCACGAAGCAGAGGGTAATTTTTCCTTTAGGGTGCCTGTGGCTGGCGCCTTTGGTGGTTAGTATCCCGAGATAGGATATTTCGGTGTATCCCTTGGACATGCTGCAAGGTTGGAGGGCGCGTGTCTCCACGTCAGCTCTAAGGGCTGACGTGGGATGGGACTGAGGATTGGACCTGACCAGCTGGACTGTACCAGTGTTTGGGCCATCCGGAATAGTAGTGATGGTAGGTTTGTAATAAAAGATTTGCATTCATGTAATTGTACTGTAGGATAAATGAGCCAATAGGCTGTTAGGGAGTTACGGAAAATGCGCTTAGTTAGTTGAGGTGGCGCTGAAGTGGATTGCTCACAAAGCTTGTATAAATGATGTCTTGATGTAAAGAATCGATATCAGAAATAACAAATCGTTTTTTACTTCACCTTTTTCGTTCTTAGAGCAACTTAGCTCTATCAGCTTCGTACTAGTGATCCATTAACTTTTTTTTTTTTTTTGGATAATAGTGATCCATTAACTTAGATATGTCAAGAAGTGCACCATGGTCAAGACTCAATAGAATCTGGTTCTCTTATCTAAGAAAAGTGAAATGAAAATATCTTTTATTAATTTATATATTTGTATTAATTATGTATGATACTAATAAAGTTTTGTTTTCTCTATTGATTTTAGGAAAGATAAGTAAACATGTTTGTTCATAAAGGAAATATACTCTATATCATGACTATTTTTTTATTTAGAAACATAGTGGAAAGCAATCAATTCAGCAGAATAATTTAAGCTAGTAAGAAATGTTTATATTAATGGTTCTATATTAGATTTCTCTAACACACTCAATCACATAAGAGCTCATTAGACTTAAAAGGTCGATAATGCATAGGCCATATTACTGTGTTAGGAAATTCCACATTTGAATAGTGATGATTATATTAATAGTTTTATATTTATTTATTTTTATACATAATGGTTTCATATTATATTACTATAACATACCCTCTCACATAAGAGCTCATTAAACTTAAAGAGTGAATAATGAACAAGCTCATTTATCTATGCTAAGAAATTTCACTTGTAAAATGTAAGAACCTGCACCGTTAAATAAGGTATTTAATTAATTAATTATGAGAAAATAGGAAATAATTTCATAATTGACCCTAATAATTATTTATGAGGCTTAATAAATGTAGTAAGTGGTTTAGAATGCTGAAAGTCGCTTTTCGGAAGAAAAGTGCAGATACCGGTTCTGCTAGTTGGTATAAATGCGTACCAAAAAAGTATCCCAAAAAATTAATGTAAGTGCATGATAATTACTAGAATAATATTTAGGACTTGTAAAATGAGTTTCAAGTCCAAATAATGAGAACTGGTGCCAGATAATGATACTGGCTATGAAAAGCGCGTACCAGAAAGGTGCTCAGAAAAATATAATAAAAATACGAAAAATTCTTGTAAAATTGAGTAGGTTAAGAATCCAAAGTTTGGGATTAAAATGCTAAGCGTAGCAATTAAAGCTAATACTATGTGTTTTATTTGAAAGTAGCTATATCTACTCATTTAAGGGCACATTGCCCTAGATACCAGATTTTTGCTGCGTGAGTTGTGTTGGTGGCTGACCAGAAACATAGCCTTTGGGTTTTGTCCTTCCTTTTCTTGAGGTTCAAGGCCATTTCTTCCTTGATGCTTCACTTTTTCTCTTGTAAACACCTTGAGTGACTGTGAACAATCTTTGGGAGTGAGAAAGAGACTTCATTTCTGAGTTTGGTTTCTGTCTTGTGAGGTTGAGCTTGCTGTTTTCACGTTTTGGGAAGGAAAAGGCTTTCTTTTTGTGTTTTGAAGCTTCAAGAAGCTTCCTTGTTGTGTAAAAGAACCACCTTTGTGCACCATTTTCGTGTGCAGTGAGAGACAAAACCTTGGGAGTGTCTAGTGAGCTCCAAGAGCCTCTTTGTTCTGAGTTTTGAGCCTTGGTATGTTGTATAAACCTTTGATCTTGAGTTTATGCTTAAAAATGAAAGCTTGATGCATGTAAAGGCTTAAAGATGATAACTTAACGTTGGGGTTGGTCAAACACACCTAGAAATGCATGTTTAAGTGTCTTTAATCGGTAAAAACCCAACCTTGGAAGGATATCTTCACGAAATGCAGAAACTGCATTCTGTCGTGAAATATCCGGATATCTGCCCGTGAAATATCCGGATATTGGATATCCGGATATGGGGATTTGGATATTCGGATATTGTATATCTGGATATGGTCAGTGGGATATCCGGATATTGCATATCCGGATATGCCCCGAGGAATATCCAGATATTCTGGGATTTCGAAGAACAGTAGCTGTGCTGTGTGTACAGTAGGCTATTGGGGGTTTGTGAACCCTAGATTGATGAAGTTGAACTTCTGTAATTAATGAACTAAGTCAGAATCTTGTGATTAAGGGCTTATGGCTTTGTTGGAAGCCTTAAGACGTAAATCATTAAAGGAGAACGTAGTCTGTATGTTAATTCTTTTGAGTTATGTATGTTGATACACTTACTGGTCCTAAATCAGATTGTGATCTGCTTTGTGTTGGACTTGGGCTGTGAGGACTCTTGGCATTGGATAGTGAGCTTGCATGGTAAGCTTTTGTGTCCTCGGTTTAGCCATGTTGTGATTCCACCATGTCCCATGGGGGTATGGTTATATGCATGCTGTGTTACATGCTTTTGATGTTTTGGAAATGCTGTTGAGCTGTTATATGTTAGTGCCTTGTTGATATGCATGGAGGTGTTCCACCTATACGGTAAGCCTGAGTATGTAGAACATACAATATGGTGAGGCTGTGGGTGAGGTGCAAGCGGTGTTCCTTGTACTACATGTAGGTATAGACGTATTCCTATATTTCTCTGGCCAGTAGAATAGTGATTACACACATGCCATAGATATCTGTTGCACTGCATAGTTTTGGAACTGATAATGATATAAATGCTTTTAGAACTTATATTGCACATGTAAGTGAGCTTGGGGTGGAAGATCCTTGAGGACCCCTTGTCTTACTGAGATTTCTGGTTTAGAGATCTCACCCCACGTTTGGGGAATGCTTATTTCAGGGTCAGGTAATGTTGAGATCTCAGGCGGCAGGAGGCCGGAGCTGAGTTAGATATTGATGATATTGCTGACTTGTTGGATACTGGATATGCATGCTGTTTTTATGCTTTGAGCTTCATTCTATGATTATGATTATCTTGTTGAGACGCTGTTGATTTGGTGAGCATGGGGATTGTCCATGCCACGTAGACTTGTTATGTCTTGCTTTTATTAGAGTTGTATTAATGTATCAGGATATTGTCCGGATTACGTGATGTAATGTCGTGACTTAGATACTCACTTTATATGTTATTTTGAGGTATTTCAGTAGATGTCTTATTGCAATTTACATTCAGGCGGTATTCTATGAAATTGATTAAGTAATCAACTTGGTAATTGATAATGACGTCATAATTGAAAAGAAAAAGAATATTCCGCATTTTTTTATTAAGCACCGCTTAATACGATGTAATGATAACACTACCGGATATATACGGGGCATTACATAAAACAACTAATTCAACCCAAAACTTAAGTTGGTAAATAAGGTTTACATTAATGATTTTATATTA